CTCTCTCTCTCTCTCTCTCTCTCTCTCTCTCTCTCTCTCTCTCTCTCTCTCTCTCTCTCTCTCTCTCTCTCTCTCTCTCTCTCTCGTTTCTAAAACGAAAACGGGAATGAATCTTTCCATTTTCGCAAGAAGATCTATTCCCGTTGTCGGGGCAAATACCCGGACAAGGGTATTTGCCGAGGATTTTAAAACGTCGGACGTTGTCTGACTCTTTCGTTGAATTGAAGGAATCAATAAGACTGACGTTTGCCAAAAGTTCATTCAGACTGACCTATGACAGAGAGACTGAAACTTTTAGAAACTTAGTTTGGACACCTGCGGCGTTCCAAAGTAATGATGGTAGTCGACGGTTTTTAGCAAACCGCAAAGAGGCGTGGATGTGGAAATGGTAAGCTAGACCTATCCTACCTAAAATAATTTCTTGAATGAGTCGGATCAAACTTCACTCAAGGTCAGTCAGTTGATTGACTCAGATTTCCATTCACACACACATGTGAACACACACTTTGCTTGACCCTGTTCATTTTGAATGTTCGAAAGAAAAGGTAGAGAAAGTTGTGCGAGTCATGCATGTGAATGGAAAGGTCTGACTCATGTATGGGATTGTACTGTTTTCTTTTGAACTTGTTTTCTTTGCGTATTGTGTAGATAGGTAGAAGGATGCTTGCAAAGGAGTTTGGTTTATGCTTATTTGGGAAAGATGAAAAATATTATATTTTTCTTACCTTCCACATGCGTGCTCCTCAAAGCGAACTTGTTGTTTTGAAGAAGATTAAGTCAGTGAGTGTGATAAAATAAAGCGGATAAGGTCAAACGGACTTATTTTTTTTCCGAGGATGACTCATTATATCCCAAATTACCTTATTTACTTGTAATTGTCCAAATGATTCACATTCTTTATCTCCTCTGATTTCTTTTCGTCCAAGCTACCCTGAACTCATGAGAAATAAGAATAACTGAAAGCTACTTGTTGTCAACACATTCTCTTTCCCTAGGGAGCATCTGGGGCGGGGGTTTGTTGCTTTAGGAACCGACCCTGTTATCGACCCAGAGTGGACCGTTCTACGGGGGGGTACTCTGTCGATTCGGTGGAGACGGCCCAACTTCCGAGATCCGAGTTTTTAGCTCGTGCGAGGAGGAGGAGTACCCCAGACCACTTCCTAGAGGGAGAAGCATGCAACACTTCAAGCAATGCACCTGATCAAAAATCATTCGCAAAGTAATATGTCATTAAAAAAAACTAAGATGTGTGAAGATGCATGTCTGTGCCTAGTCTTTGATCGGCGGTAGGCTGGAATGAATAACTTAGGCAGTGTGTCTCATCAAGTTAAAGCTAAAGCAGACCGACTACCTTGTCAGTTCCACCGAGGTTATTGTGAAAGTCAACTTTGTTGGCGGCTGTATGAATTTCTCAGTTATTAAGTTTGACCTGAGATGATCAGATTTTATTTTGATCTTGTATTATGTATCGCACGATGATTTGATTTCTTTTAGTTATTATTTCAGATTGAATACATATTCCTATCGACTATGGTTGATCCCTTTTGATGTAATTATATGTGAAATTATTATAATTTTCGTTTGACTTTGTGGCTAAGGGACTAGGATGAATTATGGTTTCACACTTGGTTGAGACCGTCTTAGTCGACCGACGTACGCTTCGTACTTAGGAGATCAGCGCCCTAAGGAACGAACGACATTCGGGTCCGCTTGGCGTTAACCAGCGTATCTATACTACAGCGAACGAACAAACGCCCTCGGCTGACTTACATCTGCGATTGCATATAACAACTTTCGTACGTGGGTCAGTAGCTCGGTAGGGATACGGCCCTAAGGGTAGTGACAGCCACTTAGGGAACAACAGAAAAAATTTTCATAATTAAATAATCATTCTAGAGTAAAATTACATTTTAAATTTCAAATTTTCATTCCATCTTTAAAAAAGTCATTCCAATTTTAAAATTTTCCTTC